TCCCGGGAACCCGACGGCTCAGTCCGGAACCCTGGGCTCAGTCCCGGACCCGACGGCTCAGTCCGGAACCGACAGCTCAGTCCCAGAACCGGATGCGGCTCCCGGAGGAGTCGGCACCCTTTCCTACGCGGACGGCGGACGGAGGTCATTTTTGCTGACAGCCATTCCCGGGCCCGGCCCCAGGCAGCTGCCCACTTCCATCCTGGGTCTCTGATGCCAACATCAGGGCGTTACAGAGCGACCCCCGGCCCCCACGGCCAGGATGGAGTCCAGGCGGCCACCCGATCGCCCCCCCAACCCCAGGGACCCCAGAACAGGGACCTGTCCAGTGCCCTCAGCCGTGGGCACCACCGCTGCTGCTGGGCCAGTTTACGGCAAAGGTGCCCGGCCGGCGTGGCTCCGTGGCTGAGCCTCGACCTATGAACCAGGAGGTCAGGGTTCGATTCCCGGTCAGGGCACAGGCCCAGGTTGCGGGCTCCATCCCCAGTGGGGGGCGTGCAGGAGGCGGCCGATCCAGGATTCTCTCTCATCATGGACGTCTCTCTCTCTCTCTCCCCCTCCTCCTCCTGCTCTGAAACTAATAAAGATTTCTTTAAAAAGGAAATAAAGTTGGCTGCAAAGGTCACCGTTTTTCAGAAGCACACGCACTGGCGCCCTCCAGTCAACCTTGCGGCCAGCACGCAGTGTGATTTGAATACAAAACACGGCCCGGTTGGTGTGGCTCAGTGGATAGAGCGCCGGCCTGCGGACTGAAGGGCCCCGGGTTCGATTCCCGGTCGGTGCACATGCCCGGGTGGCAGGCTCCATCCCCAGTTGGGGGGCGTGCAGGAGGCGGCCGACCCATCGTTCCCTCTCATCATGGATGTTTCTCTCTCTCCCTCTCCCTTGCTCTCTGACATCAATAAAAAATATATTAAAAATAAAACCCAAAATGGGGAATGAACCCCGAGGCTGGCTGCCGGCCCACATCCCTCCTTGGGGACCCTGGAAGGAGATCGCTCAGCTGCCCCTTCCCCACGGATGGAAAGACCGGAGGCCACGGCTGGAAACTCCCCCTTCCCCCTGCACCCCCCGCCCCCATCTGGCAGGGCCTGGCCTGGGAACAGGAAGCCCCCGAGGCAGGCGAAACCCCAGAAAGAAGAAGTTGGGCACCGACCTGCAGCATCCAGGACTTGAAGCGAACCATCTCTGCGGAAAGAGAAAGACGGATTAGGCGTGGGCGCCCGTGACAGCCAGTCACGGCCAAGCAGGCCCTTGAGAACCCATTTGCATTTCAGGAAACTGGGCTACAGTTAAAGCCCCCCAAAATGGTGCCACCTAACGCCCGGCCCCACAGGGAAGGCGGGCGGGCGTCGGCATCGGCACCCATGTCGGCGTGGAAAAGCTCGCGCCCTGAGCCGGTGGCGCGCAGGCCAGGACAGTGCAGGTCACGGAAAGGCGTGTGCAATGATCCGTGTCCTTCTCTGTAGGAGACGCTCACTAAGACGTTAATTTAAAAAATCTGTATGCTGCCTGCCGGCCGGCGTGGCTCAGTGGTGAGCGTCGACCTAGGAACCAGGAGGTCAGGGTTCGATGCCCGGTCAGGGCACATGCCCGGGTGGCGGGCTCGATCCCCAGTGGGGGGCGTGCAGGAGGCGGCCGGTCCGTGATCCTCTCTCATCATGGATGTTTCCATCTCTCTCTCCCTCTCCCTTCCTCTCTCAGAAATCAATAAAACATATTTTTTTAAAAAGAACATAAAATATTTCATTTACAAAAAACTGACTCTTTGAAATTAAAAAAAAATAGTATCTAATCAACAAAGGAAATTTTTAAAAAATATAATTACCAATATTTAAAGTACTTGAACAGGACGGAGAGTACACGTCTTAGCCTTTGCCCGATCCCGTGGTCTATGTCACAGCCACTCAGCGCTGCCCTGGCCACAGCGCGGGGGGTGTGCCAGCGAAACCCTATGTACAAACCTGGGCCTGCCCGTCGTCCGCGGGCCCCTGCTGTCCCCCACCCCTCACCCCGTTATGTTTAACTTCTCTAAAAATTCATTTCTCTTTAACCGAGGGTATTTTTCCATTATTTTTAGAGAGAGAGGAAGTGAGAGGGAGAGACAGAGAGAAACATCGACGTGAGAGAGACACATCAATGGGTTGCCTCCTGCACGCGCCCCGACCAGGGCCCGGGCCGGGAGGAGCCTGCAACTGGGGTACGTGCCCTTGACCAGGAATCGAACCCGGGACCCTTCAGTCCACAGGCAGGTTTTGTGGATGCTCTGCCCAGTGAGCCACACCGGCCAAGGCTCTAAAACTTCATTTTATTTTTTAAAATATATTTCTTTTTTTAAAAAAATATACTTTATTTATTTTTTACAGAGAGGAAGGGAGAGGGATAGTTAGAAACATCGATGAGAGAGAAACATCGATCGGCTGCCTCCTGCACACGCCCCACTGGGGATGTGCCCGCAACCAAGGTACATGCCCTTGACCGGAATCGAACCCGGGACCCTTCAGTCTGCAGGCCGACGCTCTATCCACTGAGCCACACCGGCCGGGGCTCTAACACTTCATTTTAAATGGAAAGATCTGCAAAGGATGTATTCCAGCTTCCGGCACACACCGGCACTGTGAAAGGAGACTGACATCGCGTGACGGGCGGTGGGTGGTAAGTCCGGGCGATTTAACTAACACCCGGCACCCGGCACCCAGACAGGCCCTGCCCCCGTTCTCGGGCGTCTCACCCAGTTTCTCTTCCTCCTGAACCCCATCTGCACCCACAAACACCTCAGAACTGGACCCCAAGGGACCATCTGTTTATACCGATCTCCGGCCCTCACCTCGCTCCGTGCAACAAGGACCAAAAGAGTACATTTCCGCCCCGGCCGGTGTTGCTCAGTGGATAGAGCGTCGGCCTGCGGACCCAAGGGTCCCGGGTTCGATTCCCGGTCAGGGCACAGGCCCGGGTTGCGGGCTCCATCCCCAGTGGGGGGCGTGCAGGAGGCAGCTGATCCATGATTCCCTCTCATCATGGATGTTTCTCTCCCTCTCCCTCCCTCCCTCTTCTCTGAAATCAATAAAAATAAAATTAAAAAACAACAATAAGCAAATGAAAACATTAGTGTTTATTGCTCTTGGGACCAGGAAGGGCATTTAAAAAAATTATTCTTCACAGTTGGAAGTATTGCGTATGTCTTTTTCTCTCCCGCCCCCGCGC